ACGGTTGGACTTGATGATCTTAAAGGTCTTTTCCAACCTAAACAGCTCTGTGATTTTATGAAATCCCCCTGAGCCTTCTCTTCTCCAGGCTGAGCAGTCCCAGCTCTCTCAGCCTCTCCGCATATGAGAGGTGCTACAGTCCCTTCAGCATCTTTGTGGCCCTGAGCTGGACTCTCTCCAGTAAGCCCATGTCTCTCTTGTCCTGGGGAACCCAGCACTGGATCTGGCACCTCAGCTGTGTCTCACCAGTGCTGAGCAGAGGGGTAGGACCCCTCCCTCAGCCTGCTGGCCACGTTCTGTCTGATGCAGCCCAGGAGGCCGGTGGTCATCCTTACCACAAGGGTGCATCCTCTGAAACACTGTGTCACAATTAGGTTCGATTTGTCTGGGCAAATCATCGTGTTATAATAACCCCTTTCGTAATCCAAATTAATTTCCAAGACCACAAACCTTTAAAAACTCATTCAAGTAGTTAGCTCATCAATAGGACTATTCATACAGTAATCATGTGCTTAAATCATTGCCATCTTAAAATATTACTCATTAGGTTTTTCTTTTCAATATCCTCATGTGAACAATTTCAGTGATAGAGTTCACATCTGGGGAATCAAATACTAAATATTTGTTGATTTCATAATTTATTTCTTGTATGCATGTTGCATTCTCATGTGTTTCATAACATTTTGTCATTATAAGGAATTAAAATATTGAATTTAGTCGACCTGTATGAGTGTGCATTCAAACACATGGCTGATGTTATTAATTTATTGTCAGTCTGCTCTTTAAAGACAGAATAATAAGTAATTTTGTACAAAGCCATTCAAAAGTAGATAATTTGGAACATTGACTAAAATGATGGTAACTATATTTTTTAACATTGAGGAACAAAAGTGATATCGAGCAATTTTGGTTTTCGACAACTAGGTGTCCACATTGCCATGAACAAATCCTATGTAACGATGATCACTAAACATCATTGTCACCATCTTCACCTGTGGGTCAGCTCCTTCATCAGCCAGAACTATATGTGTTGATTCAAGAAATTACACATAAACAAGGAAGGGTAATCTCAGCAAAAAAGCTAAGGACGCAGACTTGCTGAAAAGGTAGCCTCGGAAAAGAACCAAAGTTGCACCAATGAGAGGTCACTGTTTTGTGGACAGATGTCAGCCTCCATGGCTGTTTTTCTTATACTTTATCCCAACCCTAAGGTATTCCAGAAAAACTCTTTGACCCTTTATGTTTGTAACTTTTTTCTTCGCTGTCATATACCACAAATAGTCTGGTATATGACTGTATAGGGCAGTTTATATTTTTTTCACTAAACATGGCATGGCTCAATCGCTTCCTTCCAATAAACAGCCAAGCTCCTGCTGCAACGTAGATCCAGGAGAATTTAGATCTGGGGCTGCATTCACGTGCTCAGCAGTGCAGAGACAGCTAACCAAAAACTAAGTGAACTTGTCTGCTCTGTTTAAAACCTGAACTCTGCCTGGGGGCAGGCGAAGGTTTCCCAAAGCAGCCACCAGAACGCACTGTGAGGATGTGCTTGCCCTTGAAATACATATAAAAATACATCAAGTCAGGTCAGCTTGGTACTGGAAAGCCTCTTGACACACTGGTAAGCACTGAGCACCCCACAGGGATTTACAGGATTTATAAAAATTGGCTGTCTATTATTTATACTTTTATATTTTCTTGCACTTTTTTTTTTATACTACGCAAAGAAATTAAACGTGTGTTGAAAGACCTATGACTAAAAATAGACTTACAGATACACCTTGAAAATATACACTGCCACTTGTGAGTGAATTGTTCATGACTTTTACAAAGGAACCGTGTGCTGCTGCATCGCACACAGGCTGTGCTGCTCCAGCTGCCAAAAACTAAGCACATGAGGAGTGCTGCCACTGGTTGCTTGATCCTGAATCTAGCGAGGAGTGACTCAAAACACCGCGTTAGCATCAGGCAAAGTCCTTGCAAATACCACTTTTTCTGTTTTCACTCTCTAAACTTCCCTGCTGAAAACCTCACACATGCACAAAACGCTTCCCAGCTGTGAGGGGCTCCTGCTAGTGTCCTGATTAGTGGAAAACACAATTTTACAGCAATTAGGACACTATCAGGCACCTCTCTTGCCAGCTGTGGTTGCGACTGGCCCTTGCAGGTGTTGGCAGTCCTCCCGTGCTTTTGTTTCATGCAAGCGGACATTTCTCTTGCTATTTTTCCCAAAGTGAAAAGACAAGGTCATTGGCTTTCTCTCACCTATGTGCTGTCCATACATGTGATAGTAGAAGCTAAAACAATAGGCCGTGTTCGTAGCTCCGTAAGGATTTTTTGGAGCGACACTGAAGACAGGACTAACGAGTCTGGCCTTTTCTCCTTCCAGCCTGGGGCGCGACGTCTCAATGTACATGTAGAAACCTAGGGAAAGTCCAAATGGAAATTGTGAGGTTGCGGCCTTCAAAATCCAACACTTATACGTACAGGAAGACACCAGGGCTATCAAGCGTCTCGATTCATTTTTCACATTCATCTGACATCACCATGGTTTCTGGGACATATTTCTTCTGCATTAAGCCCAAGTGTTTTCCACAATTGCTTCAAAAGCATGTTTTCTACTAAGAGTAAAATCAGGGCTAGCAGGTCAGTACTTGTAACCAACTTCAAATCGATGTAACATTGTATATTCACAAGAAAAGAAAAAAATGTTTAGGATGAGGTTCAGACTTCAGTCTCAAGGCTGCAATTTGTTCCTATAAGCAGTGAACGGGGAGGACTTTTAAAATAAAGGGAAAATATCTTGATGGAAACCTTTCAAGGAACATTTTCAACTGGCCATGTCAATCACATGTTTAAAAGCTCACTTTCATGAAAGAAGACAATATTAATTTATTCTGATCCTGGACTGTGCAACAGCAGAGATAGTATTTATTTAACCCAATCAAGCAAATACAATGCAGTATGACTTTTTTCCCCTTTGGTAGCGCAAGCAGGGGGCACACAATAAAATAGCATGAGTTACTGCAGTACTTGATAAATTCAGCACAATATGTCTGACTTTTCAAATGCAAATATACACTGCAGTCAAGATGGCACGCTTCTGTTAAGCAGGGCAGCAGATTGAAAATTACACATTTTAGCAACACCCAAAGTAAAAATGGGGCAAAAAAAAATCTCATCGTGACAGTCTGAGAGAGTCCAAGTTAGAATTTAAATGACATAAAACAGAAGAATATTTCAAGATGTGCCAGAATATTTCCCCACTAGACTGTAACGTGAAAGCAATCACTTTGAAAATGGCACAACAGAAACAATACAAGATGGTTAATGGCACTGTTAGTGGGTTGTGCTTTGGGACCAGCCGCATGCCTCAGCACTGGCAATTTCTTTTAGAAGTCCTTGAAGTATGCTTATTCTTGGTATGACTAGGAAAAATGACATATCTGGCTGAATTGACTGTCCTGGACAGGTCCCTCACCACAGTGGAGCAGCAGAGCTCCCAGTGCCGGGGGACCAGGCACGCCGCTGGAGCTTACCTTCCTTGGAGCCAGTCCGATCTGCGTTTGGCCCCGTGTTCGGGGTATATTTTGTGTCTCTAGTGGCAGTGCTTTGTTTTGTCCAGTCGAAATTGTCTGTGTCATCTTGAGTGAAAAGGCAAATGTTACCATCCTCAAACCCACAGTGGAACTCTCCTGCCAATGCAGCAAATGAGCAGAAATTTAGTGGCTGAAAACTATTCATCCTATGCTTGTTTGTCAAAGTACCTGCCAATTATAACAAACACATTGTGGGATGATGCTTATTAACAGCACTGGAAAATAGACATACGTTTTTGTTACATCAGTTTCTAGTGTTTAGTGTACATTTTCTTTTGCAGTAACCTCAATGAAAAAAAATCACGGTCATCACTCTGTGTTGGTGTTACTTGAAACTATATTCAAATCTTATTGTACAGCTCCTCCTCACATATTCACATGTATACAATTGCCCTTAGAAACATTGTCTCTTCTTACCCAGCTAGCATTTCTAAGAAGCTGAGAAGAACAGGCAGCATGTGCATAAAACATGGACTACGGGAAAAAGAAGTGAGAAATGCGTTATTTTGGTTTAGGGATAAGGACATTAGTGAAAAGAGGACAGCAACTTTTCAAAATGAAAACATTGTCTCCAAGTGCCATCTTCTAAACTATTCTTGGTTTTCCATAGGGATGGGAAAGCAAGTAATGGCTAAAATGAGAGCAAAGGCACTTTAGAGTAGACATTATAAAAATCTCTAAAAATCAGGACAGCGAAGCACACGAATGGACTGCTTAGAAAGAGCATTGAGTCCCCATCAGTGGACTGTAATAACCAATTAGACAAATACCTGGGAGGAAGGTTTAGGTCTACCTCAACCTATATGGGCAGGACAGGTGACTGTATCACGTCCTGAAGACATCTCCTAGACTTTCACTAAGACTTCTGTAATGTACTTGAGGTCAAGTGGCAAAAGCTTAGGTCTAAAGAACCCCAGACAGGATTACTGGGATCCTCTCCTTTGCGAAACAGAGGTCTGCGAGACACACCAGTCCAGTGATCCTACCTGCTGGGTTACGATGGGATGAGGAAGTCCTACTGTCAGACATTTAGGAACCAAAACAAATCAAAACTTCAAGGTTTAGTTTTTATCTCAGAACAGAATAAGGCCCCATGTATTAAAATGTGCAAAAGCTTAATTTTATGCACATGAACTGTTCCCACTGAGTTTACTCTTCCAGCAAAGTCAATTGATTTATCTGAGAAAACAAGCAAATCTCTCTTCTCTAGGGAGAATGCAGCTGTCTGCATACTGTGTCAGCTACGGCCTTCTTTATAGGGGTGCAATTTATATTCATTGTTATGAGGAACTCTAACACCAGGCATCATGGGATTATTACTCTGTGTTAAATTGAGAAGGTATATAAATGTTTGCAGGTTCGGGGTTTTGGTGAACTATAAATTCACTTAAGCCACTGGAGCTTCACTGTAAATCAGTGAAGACAGAGGGACCTGGAGCTTAGCTTGGATATGTACTGCTAAGCAAGGATGCTGGTCTGAAACTTATTTAAAATCAGATAATACTGCAGACTGAACAAGCAGGCTTGAAAAATTCATTCCAAACCACAAGGTGCATTAGGAGCGCTTTCCAAGTCTTCCTCATTCTGTTTTGCCTGTCCAAAGAGCAACACAAACTCTACCCCTTCCACAACAGTCAGCATAAAACACCACTCTATAAAACCAGGTTATCACAAAAATGCTGTCCACAGAAACTTTCTTGGCTATTACTACTTCAAGCAGATTGGCTTGATTTCTCAATAAATCCATCAACTTTATTAGCTCCTCCAAGAGAATTGATTTCCTAAATCACAGTTCCTTAACTGGCAAACATGACGGATAAGCATTGGCATGATGGGGAGCCAATTTCAGGACCTTGCACCTCGGTTTGGTTCTGGAAGCAAGGTCTTTCTGAATCCTGAATTTTGAATGTTGAAGAAGTGGCAATATAGAAAATGACTCAATGGAGGACTACCATCATGAGCATTGCAGAGAAGGAATACAAGCAGAGGCCTGATTGTGGTTCTTTCTGAGAGACAAGCAAATCAAAGAATGAGGCCACAAGGAATACACATGCATGGAGTACATCCAAAATCCTTTGATAGAGAAGCATGTGAATGGATGCAGACAGACACCTCCATCCTTATCCCAAAGATCAGGAAGATAATGCAAAGACCCTGACAAAGCTCTTGAAAGACACAAGGACTCGAATGAAGCACTCTGAACAAAATGCCAGCTGTGCCTCTCATCTCCAAGAATACCTTTTACATGACTTGAGCTCTAAATTTGCTTGGTTTACACTATATTCTGTGCATTTGACTTCCACCTCCACTTATGCAAGCCCTTCCTATAGCAAAAATGGCACTGCTTCTACACAGTGTGACAAAATTAAAGGGCAAAACAGTAACTAAAGGAGAAAAGTTCTGAGTACCAGATCCAGTCCTGCAGCAAAGTGAACTAACACAAAGCATTTTCAGCCATTCAGCAGTTTCTAACACTGCCCCTCCAGTACCTTAAGAGCTGCATTTGCATGTCGCACCATGCCCTCAGAGCTTCATTAAGAAATTCCACATCAGCAGAACAGAAGATTTTTCTTCAAGTTAAAATAAAAGAATTCAGGCCACATGAAAAAAGGTTAAGTAAAAGTTTGCCATTTATTTAACAGGAAAACACTGGTTTCATGTGGGACTCTGCCATTTGCAATACATCGGAAAAGGTTAGTGCTAAATATTCTTGGCACCAAACACTGCTTAAAAAATGACAGAAGAATAAAAATGGGAAATAGTTCCCCAGGATTAGCTTAGTACTTTTCTTATTCAAGAAGCAGAAGCATTTAAATAGACCTGGATGGTCCTGACCTGTTCATTAATGGGGCACATCGAGTGCAGGAGGAACAGCCGCCTCTTCCCCAAGCACCCATGGGTGCTCCAGCTCATGACACCACTCAGACCACTACGGTTTGCTGAAAGCACTAACAATGGTGCCAATTTCTATTAAAGATAGTGGTCAATTTTTGTCAAAGCACATGCCAGCTCTGGAAGTGGATTCAGGTTATTAATAATTTCATTGCCAATTAGGGCAAAATCTGAAACTGTTCTCAAGGTGAAACACTCTTCATTGTAGTATGAATTTTTGTCATCTATTTCCATAAAATTCAAGTTGAATATGACTCTCTACCATCTAATCTCTTCCATTATTCAGGTGTAACATCTAGTTGCACTAACTGATATGAAATCCTTATGGTTTACATTAAATTGTTTATATTATACTTTACAAAATAAAATGTAGATCTGAGGCTACATCTCAGTGTTTAAGTCATCCAATGCTACTTGCTTATATATTGCAGACATCTTATAAAAAAGAAGGACCTATGCAATGTGATTATTCCAGAATTGAAGCAGGAAGAATGTGACTTCAGTTTCCAATAGAGGTGTCTTGTCCCACTTGAACACAGCTCTTACTCTTCATTCGCAATGGTGTAAATGAAATCAGAATTCAGCCCCACAGGTTTAGAAAAAAAACAGAACTCCGTTGATGTTATATCATATACATCATCATCCATTCTGTATTTTCAGTGAAATAAAATGAGATTGTAGAAAGAATGGATAATGATGAGATTGAGTTTGTTAGGGAAGACAGAATCTCTCTTTTCCAGCTTACTGGTTTGAACTCATTTGCAGACCAAGATTTCTTCCCTGTCAAAGGATTTCACTGAAAAAGTCTTTGGGGAAAAAAGCAAACCAAAATTTTACCATCTCTTTGCCCATCTGAAAGAAAATACACTGGGTACCCTACAGTTCTGGTAGGCAAACTTTCCCATTGCCACCACTGCAGAGAGAGGCAGACCTAGAACGCAGATGAAGGAAAGGGTGGACGGGTTGCCAGAGATGCCCTCCTTCCCTCGAGCTAACACACTCCCTATCGCACGAGCAATTTGGATGCCACCTGCACTGTACCATGCGTCTACTAGAGCCATTGCTTTTAACTGAGCTATAGAGAGATATTTTGAAAATTAGACAGTTGCAGATCTTAAAATCATAGAAGACTACAGTGTGAAGCACTTGGGATTGCAATGCATTTTTTTCTTAACATCACAGAGTATATATTTAATATATTAATTAGCAAGGGTCTCTTCTACTGCTCATTTAAGTCAATGGGAGTGGTTCCTTCAGCTCCCGTGAGCTTTGAACTAAGCCCTGATTAATTATTAATGCATTGCACAGGATCTTCCACAAATAAGTTTAAAATTTACAGAAAGGCTTAGCAGTCATGTGTGTGAGAGAGAGGCTGCTCGCACAGCCCGGTGCTGCTTCTCTGCCTGATTATGGCCACACTACAGCAGTAATAACAGCAGACAGAATCCCATTCCCTTTATTTTTTGCATATGTTATGAAAAACAAGAGTAATGGCAGAATATGTTCCCACAGTAAAACATTCATTCACTGTGGTGTGGAAGAAAATCATGAAGTAGATAGATGTGGAGACTGTCAGGAATAGCGTGGTTTTACTGGGACATACTAAAGCTCCAGCCCAGTCTCTTGTCTGCGAGATTTGTAGGGATTTGGTTCCCATGGAAAAGTGTAAGAACAAGCCATAAGAGAAGTCCTTTCTCCCCTGCAACATCCCCGTGCCCAAGCACGAGCACATTAGCAAATACATAGTCAGAGCTTGCATTTTAAATCATGGCTGTGGAGCTGTCTCCTGTGAATTTGTCTAAACACTTTCACACCCTAGTTACACTTTCGGTCCCCACATTTCTCTGTGCAAATGAGGTCCATGATTCCTGTATGCACTGCATGAAAAAACATTCTTGTTTTGGTTTTAAAGCTGCAGATGAGCTTCTGACTACCCTTGGGAGTATCAAAATAACTCAGGAACTGCAAAGGTAGTTCTTATGCAAGGATAAATTAATTCAGAAAATTTCATAAACTGACTTTTCCTTCAAGATTTTTACCGTGCCTGTTGAGACGCACAGTTCTTACACAGTACTTGAACTTTCAGCTATTTAGTTTATCGGTATTTAGCTACTCCCATGGCTAAACCACAGCATCACCCATACACACCGAGCTGCAACGCCCACAAATGGATGTTATTCCAGAACATTAGTATTTTCCTTTAGATGAACTGTTTGGACAGTTGGAAAGAAAGATGAGCTGGAGCTGTAATTTTTCCTTTCTCCATCTACTCTTGCCTTAGCGCCTTGGCAGAACAAGAGGAATGACACCTTCAGCCGCCAGCCCAGCTTGCACACAAAACTAAGGTGGTCCCTGCAGTCCACGGGCTGCAACTGAAAGTGAAATACTTATCGTTTACTTTTTAACTGTAAGGGGCAACAGATGCAAGGACAGTTCTTCATACACATAAAAGCTAAAAAGTTAAAGAAATACTTACGTAGATGTGGATTTACTGGAGCTGGAAGACAGAGCAAAAATAAAATTAGCACAAAGCAGAAATTCTAATTCATCAATATTCAGATTATCCTAAATTTCCCGTTGTTCCCTCCCCCTCAGACCTTGACCATGGCTCCTACAGCAAGACAGCCAGCAAAACTGCTAACTTCCTTTTTGAGCAAATTTTGTGGCTCCCCGGCAATCCAAAGGCAACGATTGCAGTGAGAAACGATAGCCTCTCCCATCCATGATGTGCATCACTAGGACCTGCAGCTTGGGGAACAAGATGCTGTAACAAAGCATCAAACCCAGATTATTGGCGCAGATGTTGTAAGGATGGGGACAGCTGCACAGCAAAACGCCAGGGTGATGGCTTTGTACAGGAATCTACAAAAACTACAGAAAGGATGAATTCATCAAAAGCAGAGGTTCTGCACTGGACCTTGCTTATCACTTAAGATTTAGCATTAAGTAAGAATACTTAACATTTAACAGAATACTTAATACTTAACAGAATTACCCTTCTACTCAATGAATAATACTATTCTTTGGTCTAAGATGTCTGTGTACATATGAGTCTTAAGAAACAGACAACACTTGCATTCTTGTTAGAAATTTCAACTTTCCTTTTAAATATCAGAAAACATAAGCACAGCAAGTTTGTGAGAAGAGGTTTAGACCAAGAGACACAACCAAGAAAAAACCATGAGAGTCTTCTGGCATATAAACCCTCTTCTAGGGAGGATATACTTTAAAGAAATTTAAGAAGACAACACAGGAAGGTGAAGTGTGCTGTCCTAAGAAGCTGCCAGCAGTGCCAGCACACCCGCACCTGCTGGAGGAGCCACATTCCGTGAGCAGGACAGGGACCCACCAGCATGGCTGGCCCTCGATGCTGCTCTCCTGGGGCTGTGCTCTCAGAGACAGAGGAGCATCAGCGCAGCATCCCACCTCTCTGCATCCCACCTCTGCCCACTGCCCATCCCATGGCAGGAGCAGCCCATGCTGACCCATCACCTTGGGAGGCATCGAAAATAATTTTGCCACCATTGCAGAGAAGCCGTGAGATAACTTTGCTGAAAAATATTATTTCTGTCTGTTTTATGGGTCTGTGCAATGCCCCACATGACACAGCAGGACTATTGGTACTGGGAATCTTTGGGGAAGCTGATAAAACTGGCACTCTTATTTCACAGACCCTTGGCAAAATTACAAAAACCTCTACATGCATAATTCTTTAATATTGAAGTTAATCTACTTAATACCTCAATAGGCTGAAACAGAATGAAAGTCAAACGTCAACAGTGCCTAGAGATACCTTAACCATGGGAATGGCTACCCAGGTTAGGTCCAGAGTAATCTGTACAATGCTAAACATGGGAAATGGGGTTTGAATGAGAAATTAGTCTGCAGTTCTGTGCTACCTGTTTGCAGAAGCGTACATTTGAGGATGGATGACTTAGGAAACAGGGCCCTTCTGCTATAAGCCCTTACGGATGTGAGAAACAGAAGGATGCTAAGCTCACAGTTGGAATTGCATGTTATTAACAGAAAATTTGAAATAAAATTTTGTCTCCAAATAGCGGGTGCATCTGGTAATGCCAGACTTCAGTACGAGTGTTGCTGCATGTTTTCTTGCTGCCCTTCCCATGCCGTGTTTACAGACATGAACTCTTGGTTTGTGACTGCAGCCATGGATACTGCGGAGCTCTAGATTCAATCTGAAGTTTTCAAAACAGCTCTAAACTAGCAACTCTGCCATTTTATCTTGTCTTTTCTGAAACAAATGAACAGTGATTTGCCCCGGTGCAATCTTCTTAAGAAACTTAGTCATTACATTATATTAGATAATCTCATAGCTTTTACCAACAAATTACCTTTCATTCTCCAAGAAACATTCATTTTGTGAGATCCTTGAGTGACTGAACTTGGAATTAGCTGCAATTGCTGGGAACTACATTTACTGATGCTTGATTTGTAACTAAACATACGGGTTTTTATGGAAACTATCATCAGCGTGTAACCTTGAGTCATGCCATTCAGATTGTTCACAGCAGAGCAAAAAAGGCTTCTTGCCAAGCTAGCTTCAGTTCACACTGATTGACAAAAGCAGAAAAACAAATTAAAGGAGCTAGGCTGAACTTATCTAACGTCATAAACTAGGAAAAAAACCCTCCACAACCAAACAAAAAACCAGAAACCTCACTCTTCTAAACAATACAGCACTCTGCTATAAGACAACGCGTAATGGCTCTAGCTCTCACTGTGGAAAGGGAAGGTTGCTGCGTGCACGACACACAGGTAGCAAGTTAAATTAGCCATAAAGGGAAATTAATGGATGACTGAGGGATTAAATTCCAAGGCTGACTTTGAAATGTCTGGAAAATCTGTGCACCTCAGAGGGTTATCGCTGCTCTGCTCAGCTGACCCTGGCTCGTGCTGGGAGAAAGGTTTTGCTGGCGGAGAATCTCGGGAGGAGAACAAAGTGTCGTGAAATGTTTGAGCTTGGTTAAAGCCAAGACGGATGATCCCTTAATCTTCCTGCCTTTCTTCCAACAAGCAGAGAATAAAACCTGCTGGAATTTCAGTTTGTTGGATGATTTTACTTTTCAGTGATATGTATTTGTGCAGGTCACAGCAGAAAAGTGGGGGCTGAATGGTTTTTCTTAATGCTTGCCCTCCTATTAGGTGAAATTGCATATATGCAAAGACACATTTCCCACAGATCCTTCCCAACACAAACACTTGCTCAGCTTACAAGTGAGGCGGCCTTCAGAGACTGCAACATTATGTCTCTCCTTTAAAAAAAATAGCTGAAACCAAGCTTTCCTAGCTATGAAGAACATAATGCCAGAGGTAAGGAGAAGCATGCTAGATGTTCAGCTGCTATGTTTTTTACCACTGGAAACTGGTTACTTGTGGTAATTACAACCAGCACCTGAAAGCTTTAATCAAGATCAAGAGTCCATACCTCTAAGCACTTGGTTTGCACAGGAAAAGCAATCTTCACTGTAAATATTGGTGCTCTACAAGGACAAGGCTTTCTTCCTCCCATAATAGCAATTATCCTAACTTACTATTTATAACACTGGATAATACCGGAAACATGCTGGTGCAAACTTATAAATCCTATCATTTATGCCGTATTTGGTACCAATTTTATTTTTCTGGGGCTAGAAATATAATAATAACAAGAATAATAGTAATAAATAATAACCACAATTATATACTCTTCTTCCATACAGAATCTGGGGAGTGTCTAAACCTCATATGAAAATAAGCAAGCTAGACTACAAAGCGACTGGCCACCATCATCTACCTACTGCTGTCACAAGGGGCTGACTCGACATACCAACAGTAGAATCATAGAATCATAGAATCATTTAGGTTGGAAAAGACCTTTAAGATCAAGTCCAACTGTTAACCCAGCACTGCCAAGCCCACCACTAAACCATGTCCCTAAGCACCACATCTACCCATCTTTTAAATACCCCCAGGGATGGGGACTCAACCCCTGCCCTGGGCAGCCTGGGCCAGGGCCTGACAACCCCTCCAGTGAAGAAATTTTTCCTAATATCCAACCTAAACCTGCCCTGGCGCAGCTTGAGGACGTTTCCTCTTGTCCTATTGCTTGTTACTTGGCAGTAACAGGTTGTTGGCTTCTTCCATAGAAGGGAGCTAAACTTGCTTCTTTAATCCCTGGTTAACTTCAAAAATATTTAAACATAAGTGCATATGTAAAATGGCAAGTACTGAAGTTTTAATTGGAGTAGTTGGAGTATTTTACAGCCAGTTCGTATCAAATAGGCTGACATAGATTTATGTAAAGTGATGGAGATAATATTTGAACTGTTACTACAAGACATATCTGTTATGTATTAGCCTACAAAACATTCATCAGTGCTACTTAAACTGCTCTGTTTGTATTTACTCGGTAGACTGTGTTCACTAGCAGAGTAACATCTGTATCCACCAAAGAATTTGTCAAGTGATGTTTGGCTGTAATTATCAATGTCGCTCCTACCGTGATGATTGCTCTTTTCTCCTGTCCTTTCGGTGTGCAGAGGAGAAAATAATTCATGGCAGGTGAGGGATTTCCCTATGAAATGCTTGCACCATGGGTAAGTTTTTGATTCATGGGATTGGATACTGTGGAGTTTTTATTTTGTATTTACTGCTCCCACTTGGGATGGCAGGATATACTGTAAAGAGCTCATTACTGAGGTTTTCCTGCATTAATAGTCTCTTTATTTTGGACATTCAGATGGCTACCAGCAGGTTAGCACATTGGAAGCTGTTATTTTTATATATTAGCAATTTCCACGTTAATCTCCAGTTGTGAGTTTTAATTTAAAAGGTGATGTGCTCTGCGTCATGTACAAAGGAGTGTAACCCGATAAAAATGACTTCACAGGTAGGATTAATGTGGCTTAACTTTAGCAATCTAAAAGTTAGACACCTCATCTAAGAGTGTCATTGGAGTGTCTCTAAAGTCACTGGAGAGATATGGGCATGTCCAGAGGGTGATTCATCCCCTGGAAGAAATCTGGAGAAACCATCTCCACTCTAGTAAGGCAGCAAATGCAACCAATACTCTAGAAATGTCATGTTGATGCTTACACACTTTACAGCTATTCTGAGAAATCATTTCTGTGCGGTACATACTGAAGCTCGTCCTACTACAGAAAACAAGCTTAAGCTGTCAGAGTAAAATCTAGGTAGTGCATGGCCTATCTATCCTCTATTTGCACAAAAATGAAACTCAACTGTAAAAGTTAATGCATTTCTTAAAAGCAAAAGACACTGCTACCATTTTTAGCAACTCTAACTACAATGTGTCTGATCTGCTTTTCACACTGCATGTCTTGAAAATGGGGTGAAATCCTATTAGCCTGCTTAAAGTTTAAAAAAGTAAGGGGAAAAATGTTTGCAATGGGAATCCTCACTAGCAATACAAATACATTGGTGCATTTTAAACCTAAGAAAAAAAGCTTTTTTACTCTAAGGTGATTGAGCACCAAATAGGTTGCTCAGAGAGCCTGCGAAGTCTCCATCCTCGGAGATATTCAAGACCTGAATGGACATGGTCCTGGGTCCCGGTCCTCCAAAAAGAGTATTCCTAAAGTGGTGGGATGAGAAAGAAGGGCTGACACTGCCAGAGGCGTGCGTGCTTCTGGGGTACTGATCACAACTGAACATACAGAGGCGCGCGCACACACACACAAACCCCCCATCCCGCTGAAACTATGAAAATTCAAATGTTTCCCTCCTTCCCTGAGGTCTCACAATTTAAAAAAATGTAATGGGAGAAAAATGTAAAAAATTATCTTAGTTCTCCTTTTAAGAAACATTCACATGATGTCTTATTTTCTGGGTAATGTTTATAATTATTTCTTACATTGATGCAGGCCTGCTGCTGTGCATCCCGCTAGCCCATTAACTGCTTTTCTAAGACTCCAGCATTTCAGATTATAAGTATCGGATCTGCACTATAATAATGTATGCGATATCATTATTTTACAGCTGAAGCTATACCATCCTTAAAATTAGCCTGGTAACTATAGTCGTTGGACAAGTGCTAAGATAAAATACGTATTTTAAGCAGATAAAGCCTCAGTGGTTCTGCGATACCTCTTCAAAGGGAAGTCACTTTAGGTTTATCTTATTGATTAGCATCTGGCTCATGATTTCTGAAGCTGCGAATTTGTCAGCACCAGAGTAATAGCACTGAGTATTGCTCCAAAAGCATCCCTCCATCTGGGGCACAAGGCAACGGCTGCCTCTCTCCTGGGCGGCTGCATTTTGCATTGGCACCTCATCAGCACGTTTGAAATGGGATGTTACTCACATCTGCGCTAATGGCAGATTCTAGCAGAAAAATTTGCAGTAGACAAAATACGCCTTTTATGCTGCATGGGAATGTTCTTCCTGCCAGCCAGCGGCTAGAAATGTAAATCACATAATGTTTCATTAAAACCTCAAACTCAGCACGGTTGTGAGCCACAGCCGAGACCTCAATCAACCTCCTGAGACTTGCCAGGGTACAACCACCACCAAAAAAGAGCAGTAGTGACTGAATGACCTAAATGGTGTTTTTTTCTCCTTATAGGAGCACTGGTCGGTATTTAAGTCACTGAACAAATGTTGAGGTTCATGGAAGCAGGCAGCGGCTGCCTGGCACGAGCTGGCTGTGAGCACACAAGTCTCCCTATCATGGCCAGCACGGAGTGATTCGGATTGCTGCAGAGAAATCCCAAATGTCTGAATGAAGCTTCTGTTCCTGATCATCCCTGGGAAGACCCTGGGTCTTTCCCTTGCGCATGCGGGGAGCCCCAAAGAGACTGGACTCCTACCGCTACTGTCAGAAAACAGGCACTTATTAGGGTAAAGAGACCCAATGAGGAGCCAAAGTCTAAGAGGAATTGCAGCAGAATGACCACCTTCTCCTCATTTGTATGTTCTAGACTTAGTAAACAAGTCTTTCTTTTAATTGAGATTTTGTTCCCATGAGCTTTGGGAAAAGTAGGCTTTGCAAACACTTTCCTGTAACAGGCAAAACCTAAGATTCATCCATCACCATCATTAGCAGATCTGGCATTCAGTGAAATATGCAACTACATTCTTTAGAATTGATGTTTAAGATTGGTTAATGTAATTTTTTTCCTTGATATTAATACAGTGATAAAAATAATTTATTATGAGATTGAGTAGGGCTGAGCTAATCATTGATCATGAAGAATTGCACACACAATGCACCAGACATTTAATTTTTTTCAGATTTGTTCACTATTTTAAATTATTTGATAATGATTTTTGAAAGTAATTCTTGATCTGTAGGTTGCTTTTGGACCTTCCGCTGCATGTGATTTCCTGCTTTGGGCTCTGTAAGGCACTAATTACTATTGGATCCAGCTCCTGGAGCAATTGGACCTACGTGGCTAGCTGTGACTTGACCCGTGTGTCACCTGGCTTTTGTCCTGTGGGTTAGCAAGGTTCCTCATGATAGAATAACAGAATCATTGACTGGTTTGGGTTGGAAGGGACTTTTAAAGGTCTTCTAGTCCAACCTCCCTGCAGTGAGCAGGGACATCTTCAACTGGATCAGGTTACTCAGAACCCAGTCCAAGCTGGCCTTGAATGTTTCCAAGGATGGGGCATCTCCCACCTCTCTGGGCAAACTGTGCCAGTGTCTCACTACTCTCATTGTAAAAAATGTCTTCCTTATATCTAGCCTGCATCTCCCCTCCTTTAGTTTAAAACCATTACCCCTTGCTCTATCGCTACAGGCCCTGCTAAAAAGTCTGTCCCCAAATGATAAACTCATACTTTCATGATTCCATGGTTACAAATATGTCGCCCTGGCACACACTCCTCTTTTTCAATTATAAAAACTTTCTGCTCAGCACATCAGGTTCCCATTGCAAACTGCACAATGATATCTTCAGTAGAGCTGTCTTCTCTCTGAGGTACCTCTTGCCCATTCATTGTAAATTTACAGAAGAAAAACCAAAAAGTGATTCAGTTATTCATTAAATAAATACCCCAAGAAAGGTATTTTGAGGGATTTTTTCAGAGCTCTAGGAATTACTTCCCGGTAATGTTGGGAGACTGAATGGGAGGATGTAGGAATACTGTATTTTTCTTGTTAGATTAAAGTGGACAAATATTTGTTGCAGCATGACCTTTTAGAGGAAAATGTATAAATGCCCTTTTCCACTTGATTAGGACTAGAAACAGCACTTTTTTTTTTTTTTTAAATCATTCACATTCAAATAAAAACTTCTCAAAAAGTGCTCATTCTGGGGGGAAAAAAAAAGTATTTTGATAATATCAAAACACTGATTTGACACCTTCAGAATACTACTTGTTTTGTAGATTTTTCTTCAAAACTCATTGCCCTTCAAAGTGCTCTAAGTAAGAACAAACTTTTGAAATGATCTATTTCATGAGGCTAACATTAATAGGTTCTATTTTTTTCCTTTATTTCACAGAAACTTCGATATGATTTTGCATTTTGGCTGTTCAGACTTTTTTTTTTTTTTTTTTTTTTTTTAATTGTGAAACTTCCCGGAGGTGGAGACTATCGTTTCTACGCCGTTCTACCCAGAACCCTCCTTCCTGGAAGCCCACACTCATCCCTTGCAGCATTATTTGCAGGACTGGCAATCAGTTTACACAGTGCAAGCCAGCGCAGCCGAAACCTGTACAGCAGACCGAATTGTGCAGAATGCACTGCAACGCATTTGCTTGTACACGAAGGTCTTCTTACCACTATACTTGATGACCCGAATAGTTGAGTCCCCCTCCCCAAATCTGGTGATGGGCGTTAGACGGACTTCATACGCCTCTGGCTTGATCAGCTCAGTTAGGTTGTAGGTAATTAATTCTCCCTTTTGAATATTTCCATTCACTGTAATTTCCTGTTCCCACCAACGCTGTTGTCCAGCCTAAAATCAAAAGAAGGATGCAAATGTCAGAGCTTTTGGGATAGATGTTGTCTTCATCTTAGAAATGAATGGGAGCACACACAGACCTGTGCAGCCCCGTGCGCTTCCTTAAGCCTTCAAGCAACCCAGGAGGATTAGAGGTACAGCAAGAACACGAACCTCCCTGAAATAAACCACTACTGAGCATTTCTGTAACAGATAGATGAGATGACAGATTGCAAACTCATTTTACCAAGAGGCCACCCCTGCCTGCCATCTGCCTGTCCTCCTCTGCCCGCGCAGGTCCCGCACCAAACCTCGGGGAGCCCAGAGGCTGCAGGCACGGTGCAGCACTCAGAAGTTTGCTGCATGCAGGAAAAGTGCAGTGTTAATTCGGTTCAGGAGGATTTCTGACACTTGCCAGACAGAGACTACAGCAAGGGACAAAGCGCCTGATTTATGGTGGCATGTGAGCACCCAAGCATCCAAGCAGATGCTGCAGCATTTTTCAAAATCTCACTGAATTCTTCCATCTTTAGCAGCCTGAATTTCTTTGCAGACCTGCCCCTATGTTTCAAATGCATTTGTTAAAATGTTAAATAAACTTTTTCTTCCTTAAAAAAAATGCTGTTTATTTAAGTTCATTTCATCAGCTTACAGAGGCTGAATTTACTAGCTCTCAAATGCTATCCCTTCAAACCTGACCAGGTAAATTGGCTCCTGATGTCTCCTAGCCCCATTCACTCCCTGATTTTAAAATAACATTGGCCAACTGCAGTGGCAGACGTGTTTTCTGTCACTGTGCACACCAGGCTGGGATAGCCGCGGCTCCGGGAGCTGGGTGCTGCCTCCTCGTTAGAGGCAATGAGGTTTCACAGCTGCCATTTGGCGCATCATTTGAAGCTAATAAGAGCATACTGAAGAAGTGAAATGCAGTTTGATTTCCAAGCACTTACCACTTTTGTTGATGAGTGAGAAAGAAATAGGCTAGCCATTAATGGCCTTAGTGCATAATTATCAGCAATCCTTGTAGTCTCAAAGATGGATGGATTTCAGAGAACAATGAAAGTCAATATGAGCAAACAAGAGGCTGTTTTATTAAAAAAAGGCAAAGCATAGATTTTTGTGCTTTATAGACTGCACAATGTTTTCAACACCAAAATCTATAGTTTCTTTTATTTATATGCCTTACCAAGAAATGAAAAGAAAAAAAAAAAATCTAATTAAGAAGAAGGCATCACAAGAAGAGAGTGCCACATTGTCTCTAACATTACTTTAACTAGTTTATAGACAAGCAGAAATCATACACATTTTGGGCAGCCGAGTGACCTGACATTGCAATATTACTTGGAGATACTCTGCCCTATTGCAGACACTATCTGCAGAAAACAAAGGAAAAAAATCATTAAATATTTACCACACATCCCAAGACAACTGTACAGGTGCAGTGATGCTAAAATGAGATGTTCCACTAAGCTTACTACGCCTGTCAGTGGACTCAAGTTCTTACCTATTACATGTTCACCAATACAGAGTTTATTAAGGACAGAAAGCCTTGTATTCCAAAACTTGAATTTGCTGGTGCAATAAAAATATACACTGAAATCGCTGAAATCTAGTACTAAACCTACCACATTTCATCCAAATAAACTACATTTGCAGCAATATTAACAGACTCCAAGCTTTACATTCATAGCAGTGGGACAGAGATGTCAATACTTTTATCGTTAAAGTATGTTACACAAGTACAGCTATATGCCCATTAAATAAAACTTGGACTGTGAAGAAAAAAGCAATAGGAATTCTTAAGAAAGTTGGGATGATGGAACAGCTCTAGACATCAGCTTTGCTTTGCTGCCACCAAAGTCAGCGTGTGTTTCACTGCACTTTGCAGGGCTTGAGTTAGACCAACACTGAGTGTATCTGAGATGTTATTTCAGGGTTATTGCTCTCGCACATGCCTGGTGAGCCATGCTATAGTCTCAGGTGGCTCTTCAGGGCTGGCCCCACAGGGGTTAAGTCATGCATAGGAGAAATACTAAGGAAAAAAATCTCAGATTAGGTTAGAAATGTAAAAACGAGTTACTGTATGGAAAAACCACACTGCTGCCTGCCCGATGTGCAAGGCAGAGGTATGTCAGTTAGTACAAATCCTGCACGTGCACAGGGTGGCAGTCTGCCTTTGAAACCCGGCCCTTGTACCAGAAAGCTTTTGGGTGGATACGTGGGTGCAGAGCAGGACGAGAGGTAAGTGCGTTGCTGAGGAGCCTGGGCATGCCAGCACAGCGCTGGGACCGGGGAGCTGCCGAGCCCAGAGATGCTGCAGCTCAGCAACCTACGGTGTCTGCCCAGAGCGGCATCACTTCAGTGTCTACCCCAAGCAGCATCACCTTTTCCCTGTTGCAAGCATTAAAATGACCCACTTCATAAGATGACATTAATGAAATGTCCATCACAACTTTGTATACAGCCTGAAAATGTGGAGCATTCCTCTGCTAGCGGTTTTCCAGGGCCACTACACTACAAAGAGTTATTCAAGGTAACAAAGATACTGAAAATATGTGCGTTTATATTGTATCTTTAAAAGATCATCCCAGTAGAGCTCATGAAAAGTTTCAATTTGACAGATTCTGTTAGATGCCAGCTCTTTCACAGCTCTTTGTACCCAAGTACTGAGATCAACAAAACAGACAATGAAACCCAAGGTACAGGTTGTTTAACAGAAATTCAGTCTTTTCTCCTTTCTTCTTTAGATACCCATGAATAAGAACATGCCACAGATACCTGCTTCACCCAGGTTTTGCAGTGTGTTATTTTGACATCCCACAGCTCGTGAAGCAAACATCAACACATATTAGGACAACTGTTCCTCCTGTCCTCTGCTCTGCCCACCAGCAGCCCTGTTTTTATGCCACGCACACCTCTCCTGCTTCCATCTCAAAGAAACCTTCCAGGCATCGCTGAACCTTGTGTGCTCAGGAAAGAAGCAATAAACTCTGCGTATGGACAACGCTACGCGTGGAAAAGTCCATAAAGGTGCAAGGACAAGGCTCTGCTTCTCGTGCATGCCAGGTAAAACAGCCGTGAATTCTGATCCGCATTAAATGCTCACTGATTATTTAAAACATTGCAGAAACAAACAGAAGGGGCACCGGACCTTTCATATACGTTGAATAATGCATAAGGCACCATGTACCTTCACAGGCTGTCAGGTAGCCCTCCCAGTAATGGATAAGCCTTGTCTTGAGTAGACTGTTGTCCTTGAGAGGAAAGTGGTGAGTGTGTTGCAGAGAAGATTTTAAGGATAATTACAGTAAGATTTAGAGTGTATTTTTAAAGCGGTGCATGGGGAATTTGCCCATATGGATCTTCTCACTGGACCCGTGTGGACAGATGCTCACCATGCCTCGCGCAGTCAAACTGGAAGGTGCTTCCAGAGAAAAGCTGCTGCTGTAAGGGGACAAACTGGAAACAAGCCTTCATGAATGCTCGTAAATTTACCAAGTCACCTAGCCACTCAAATAAAATGATCTTATATTTTAAATGTGCAGGTATTTTTGGTTTTGTATTTCTTAAACACAACTTTTAAATTTTCTAAACTCAACATGTCTATTTTTAAAAGTACATCTAAAAATGCAAAAATGACCAAGGTAAATGATAACTTTTTTCTCTAAGATAAACTTTTTCATTCACACATCCCTGCTTTCATATGGAAAAAAAATATTTAAAAAAAAAAAAAATTCCTCAGAAACTCCATTCTACCCAGAATTTCTGACCATACCAAACTGTGCTAGGAGCTGAACTCACCATGTCTTTATAGACAGTGATTACAGCAAGGTACCTAGTGCAGTTCCTGGCACAATTTCTCAAAAGCTTTACAATGAAGACCAAGTGTTTTATCTGAAAGACATACTTGATTTTAAATTGAAAATAATAAGCAGCAATTTATGGAATTCAGAAGTGGGGAACAAATTTATATGCAACTAATTCAGCCCATAAATGAAAACCTAAGGTCTATGTATTTTTTTTATTTTGCCTGAACAGCTTCCCAAAAAATGTAAGTGACACTAATATACTGGAACAGAAACTGCTGTGCAGACCTCATGAAGGCTGCTGGTCCTTCAAAAGGAAGATTCCCTGATCTTAATTCTGTTGTAATTATTGCTGCTTGTTCTTTGCAATAGATTCCAATTTTTATTCTTTTTTTTTTTAAAATCAAACTATCAGGTTGAATACAAGCAATCTTCGCAAGGAAGATTAAAACTATTGACTATGCCCCAGAAGTGAGCGGTATACTACCAAACATAATTTAATGGTTTTGTCTGTCCCTTTCACAAAAATTAAGAATCAGAGAAACATAAAACTCTGGAGAAAATTACCTAATTTTCAACATTAAAAAAATAATTAATTTTTTGAAATAGACATCATTACCGTTGTTTTAAACCACGTTTTATGCCATCATGTTGGTTGCCAATTACATTTGTGAGTACTGTATTAACAAAACTGTGCTTCCAGTTGTGTGAGCCAATACTGACTTTCTGGCAGTTGTCTGATGTTAGCTGGCCATTGCTTAGAGATACTTCTGACTCCTTACAGTAGTCTACTGTAAAAATATTCCCTATTGCACCTTGCCTTTGGATAAGGGAATACTGAAACAGAGACTTCAGGAAATATTTTTGATAATTAATACTTCATGGTTAAAGTTTACAATTACCAAAAGTAGTCATGAATTTGTATCAAATTCAGTTGCTGCTTTGGATTATCACCCTTTTCTACAACCACTCAACCAAAAGCAATAAAGAAGCTCTATTATTGTATTCATTCTGAAAGCAAAACAATTTGATTTTTCATTTCAGTATTATGCATCCTAAGCCAGTACTGGATATTGGTATTTCTCCATAGGAAGCAACAGACATCTTTTTGCCTTGCAATCAACATCAGCTCTGTCCAATTCTTATTTTTACCATGGAAACCAGGAAAAACCCCAAACATCTCAAAATTGTCACTAGGTTTGACACAAA